GGTACTCCTGGATTCGTGATGACATACCTGCCATTTCCAACCAACCTAAAAAGGCTTTAATTAACTCAACACTTGCGGGACAAGAGGACTCCTTCGTCCACATACAAAAGTCTTCAAACACTCGCAACGCCTTGTCCAGCCTTAACCTATAACCCTTATCTACCGCCCGAAACGCCAACCTATCAGCACGCTCTAACAACACTCTGACCAGTCTATGAACGCCACCAGAAGCCTCCAAGCCGGATTCCTGCACGGCTCCTTTTTACCCGAAGGGCCCGGAACAATAATCTCTGCCGCCGGAGGCAGCTTCACAACCTCTTTTGGTGCTCTGAGAAACATCGGCCACCACAGAGCCGAAACACACTCGGGCAGAATTAGTAACACCCTGGTCTTGCACTCTTTGCTGTGTATTAACACCTGATGAATCAGCCCAAAGGGCGGGCATGCATAATTTATATCCAATTCCCAATCCTGGGTAAAACAATCGACGGCTTCCGAATTTGGGCAGAAAAAATAACTGTTAAAACGTTTCTTTTTTGTATTTAGATGGCTTGCAAACCAATCTATCGAAACCGGCCCCACCTGTCCTCTAGCTCCGCAAATACCTGATCGTCCAACCGCCAATCTCCCGTATCCCAAACCCTTGTCAAATGATCCGCTGGATTCATTCCACTTGGGATCCACCTGACTTCATAAATCCATACATCGCTTTTTGCGCAAAACTCCCAAAGAAACCTTGCTGTAACCTTTTGCCACGGGCAACTTCCTCCTTGCGTTGCTATCTTTACCACCACCCTGTTGTCCACAAAAAGTGTTACCCACGAATGCTTTACCAAACTGACAAAAGACTCCAGAACTCTTAAAACCACCAGACTCTCCAACTGCGCTATCTCTGTGGCCTTGAAAGGGCTCGGCCAATTCTTCGCAGCTCTGTGGTTCAAGTACACCCCCCACCAACCCACCGTTGAAGCGTCTACAAACACTGCTTTTATTCGAGCTGGCTTCTACACCGGTTTGCCATTCCAATTTGCTATGTTCGCCTTTAGCCACCTTACATCCTCTAACGCCCTTTCTGACAACACAACTTCTTCGTCCCACTCCCAACGACTACGATTCGCAGCATCTATCAGAGTATAAAACTCCAGACACTTCACTTGCGCTGGGAGAAAAGCCCGAGAAAAACTTTGAATCCTCCCCGCAACTGACGCCAGCTTCTTTACTAGCACTACCCGAAGTTTCTCTAACACTTCCAACTCCTCTCTCACCTTGCACACTTTCTCCTCTGGAACTTCCACTATGCCCTTTGCCATATCCACTATCAAACCATAAATTTTTACCCTCTTTGTTGGCTCCCAATTTCCCTTGTCCAGCGCTCTTACAAAATCACACCCCTCCAAATCAGCCTTTATTATAACGTCCCTTATTCGTAAAAGCTCCTCCTTTAACGGGCTTCCTACCCACACATCGTTGATATGACTTCCACAAAATACCCATCGAGACCTCCAAGAACCTATCAAAGCCCTCATTATCTTCGAAAATACCCACGGTGACTGGGACAGACCGAACGGTAGAACCGTGTAATGAAACCATTTTTCCCTTATTCGAAACCCCAAAAAATGTTGGGCCCAATTGTCCATTAAAACATGGTGATACCCATCTCTCAGATCGAACACTATCACCCACCAATCTCTCCCGACTGTTCTTAGAAACCCCCAAGTCCTTCGAAGCGAAAACTCTTTTTTGGCAATGACTGGTTCAATCTTCTTAAGTCTATAACCAAGCGATATTTTTTCGAACCTGCCTTCGGAACTAGAAAAACCGGACTTATCTCCAGTAAAAAATCTGGACGAACTCTTTCCGTATGAATTAACCTTATTGCCCCCAACCTTTCCAACCTTTCCAACTCCTGATTTACCCACTCCGACTCGTCTACCGTAAACTAGCCTTGCCTTGGGGTTTCTCTGCTAATGACTTGACTCCTCTTGGAAATAGGAGCACCCTGTTCTCTAACCACCA